AGGAGATACCACAAGCACAGTATAACATGCAATAGTCCAAGTTGCAGTTGAAAACCGTCGATAGATAAATGCAATCAAAACAGTAGGAGAAGAGCAGTAATCTTACGAGATTGAAAAAAAAATACAATGTTGGTGAAATTGGAGTGTGGAAACTAACGAGATACAATCGACAGCGTACCTCAAGTAAGGAGCCGAGTAGGAACAGTGGTGCTGAACCAAATTGAAAAACATGACGAGTGGTGAAGTCGAATTCGAAATCACCGAGTAGAAACACGGCGAATATAGACGGGGGAGAAGAAATGGTGTCGCGTATCAAGCAATCGAATCTTTACCTTCCATTGTTAATCGGCATCGAAGAGCGAGAAGAAAGTCGACATGCAAGAGCGCGAAGAAGAAAGGCGGTGCTGAAGTTGCAGAGACGGTTAATTCTTCTGGGTGGGTAACCGGCAAGTAAGTTGTGATTACCGGTTAAACGGGTTTCAAAAATTGAGTGAAGTCATATTTTTGGAAAAATGAAAAGTGGTCATATTTGTTTCTTGAGAAAGCCCAATAGTAATTTTGGTGCCATTTTTTCTTTATTTACTCCACATATAATAAATGTTTTAAATTATTTGATTGCTACTATAAATAGAGTAATAAAAAATATAAATATTTGCCACTATTAATATTAAATATTTTACCTTAGGTTTCCCTTATGTCCCGTAAGGTTTTTGATAAATTCTATTCATGTATTCATGTAAGAGCCCGTTTTATAACCCTGTTTTTCGGTTTACCAGTCAACTTTTTCATCAAACATGTAACTTTGTTTTCGCACGCTAAATTGTGTAATAATAACAAAAGATAAGGTTGAAATTACTTTAAAATATATTTTATTAAAAAAAAGATACAAAAATTATATGTAAAAATAACTAAAATGGTCCTCTACAGTAATTCAACAGAATCATCCAATTCAACCACAATTTCATATATTTCAGCAGAATCAACTGATTCAACCATTTTGGTATTACCAAAGGGGCTCTAACTATTATTACCTCCGTCCCTTAAAACTTTGTCAAAGTTGACCGGCACGGTGAATAATAAAGTAAAAACTGTGTGATTGAGATTTGTACAAAGAAGAGAGAAATAACAAGAACAAACAAAGTAGTTGATTAAAATGGAATGTGAAAAAGTTTTTTGGGACGTCCTAAATAGGAAAGATGATAAAGTTTTAAGGGACAGAGAAAGTATTACATAGTATTTAATTTTTGGAATCACTCTTTATCATTATTTTTATATAATATAAAGTAGTAAAGATGTCGCATGTTTTGAATGGAAATTTGCCTCCAATTCAAGGGAGAATGTGTAAATTAATATGACTCGATAAATATAAATATTGATCACTTAATTAGAGTTGTAATGCAAGTTACCATTTAAACAAGAAATCATTTCCATAACTACACTACGTGTTATGTTTTTACAATAAGTGAGTTAATTTTAATTTTTTTATGAAATAATAAATTAATACTCCGTAATAACTAAAATATGGAATTGTAAGTAAATTTTTCGGTAAACCCTAAATAAGTAAAAATGGTTGTACTGATTAATCGTTCAATGCTACTAACAAAATATGACTTCCTCATTTGTTTTAAAATATTAATATAAAAAGTAGTATGTAAATTTGTCAGCCATGTTATTAACATTTCAATAAGAATTCCTCATATTTTATGCTTAGTGTTTTTAGGACGTTTTTATTTGGACTAATTTCAATCTCATACCAAATCGAATCAGACCAGATCAAACCAGACCAGATTTAAATGAATTATATTAGACTACTATAGTTATAAATACATAGAGACCAGACATTTATAAGATCAGACCAGGTCATACCAGCCTAGCAAATTTTAGTCCAAGTAAAAACATCATTAATCCATTATCACATGTAAGAGTATAAATAATCATTGGTAAATGTAATATTTTGAGTACATATTGAGATATAATTGAACTTAAAGAAAGGTTACAAGGAGTACAATTTTAAACATCCGGGAAATCAAAATGTGCTAATTGATTTCAATAAGCTAAGTTTAATCAGGAATCATAACAACTTTTGCATCATATTGTCCAAACTTTGTTGACAATTAAAAGTAAAAATGGTTTATGTAATAAAAAAAGTAAAAATAACTCAATTAAAAGCACTCACCTCCTACTTTTAAATTTTAGCTCTATATTGTTTAATTTTAATAGATGCACCTTTTTGAAAATGATAAATTTATGTATTTAAAACATAAAGTTGAAAAATATTTTTTAAATATTTGCAAATACTCCCTAAATAGACGTGGTCTAACTCACAGTTACATATGATAAGCATTATCTTTAGTCTCATCAAATAAAAGAGGTTATTTAAAATTTTGATGAAAGCAATTTTCAATCATCATTTCATCTGTCATTGTAACAAACAAAAGTCACAAACAATCTTTGTTTGCACCAAGTGAACACATACAACAACATCCAAGTCTTAGTCTCAAAAGATATCACCAAATGAACACATATATACCACAATATGTTTTTATATACGGTTGATTATATGTTGCCATGCATGTCAAGGATTATCTCAAGACGTATTTGGAAATTTTTATATGCGATGATGTGGGACATACTGTGAGCACCTCCAATAATGTTGTCTACAAAGAAGTTGTCAAAACTTATTACTTATGATAATTTTTATAAACTACTAATTAAAAAATGAATGTGTTCTTTTGCATAACTTCATGAGGACAAAAGAAATACTTCAAATTGTAATATAATGTTTTTAACTATCACGTATTGAAACTAGCATTATTATATAATTAAAGTTAAAAATATATATAGTACCCCCTCCATCCCGAAACTAAGGTCCACATTTGCTTTCGGGATGTCCCAAAACAAAGTTTCTACTTGAATTTCTTTCCATATGTGATAAGTTTATATAATTCATTTGCCATTTCATGATCAAATCATTATATTGAATTGATGCATGTTACCTCTGTTTCACTACTCATCTATTCTCTGTACTATACCAATTTTGGTATTACATCTTTAAATAATTTAGTGGTGGTTTTAAAAAGCCAACTTTATTTTCTATTCTACCATTGCACCTGTAAAGTCAAATCCAAAATTTAATTTTAGAACGGAGGGAGTACTATTTTTAAACAAAATATTATTCTACTCTAGATAGACCCGTCACGGGTACATCCTCTAGTAACATAATACGAAGTAATAATAAAGTAATGCTAACATAGTAGTTGTTGTGTAAACTCGGCAAGAAAGCTTTTACGGTTTACCTAAAAGCTAAATGGCTATTAGCCTAATATGAACCTATTCAATGAGCAATTAAGGTAATTTGTTTATTGAAATCATCGATTCTTACAATTTCCAGGTGATTATAGCTTTCTGCATTCAGTTTCCCCTGAAAATATGAAATGGTTCTGGCACTTGCAGCAGCGGAAACAATGGCGGCTAATGCCCCCAATTTTTTTCCTTCTAAGAAGCATATAAATGTTACTTCGATCTTGATTACAAGAAGCTATTTTCAACTTAATAAATTTTATTTTCTTAATAATCGTGTCCTGTCAAATTTCGAGTAAATTTTTTGGACGAAAACACTAGCTAGCCACAAATATCATATCACCTTTTAATTATACAAGCAACCCACACGAGTAGCTCAGGTTGTTGGATTGAGATCTCAGTTCAATTCTCGGCAGTGAGAGTTTCATCCAATGTGGTGCTCCTTGTGCGCATTAGACCTTGAAATCATACCGTGACTTACTCTTCTACGGTTCTGTTGAGTCTTGGTGTGAGGGCGTCTGGGTGGAGGATTCCACCTTTTTGGATTGTAATTATACACACAGTGTGATTACTAAAGCTAACATTTTAATCCGGAGCAAAGTCAGGGCACTGCACCGATACAAAAATATTTTAAAAACAAATTATACCAAATTATTTACATTAAAAATTAAATCATTTTTTAAATTTGAGTTAGATAAGGACCTAGGCTAAATCCCCTCAATAAGTCCATTATTATTCCAATATAGTGCATTTTATTTTCGTTATTTACAACTTATTTAGTGTTATGAGAATCACTAAAATTAAATCACAGTTTGAAATTTGTAATGTTTTCAAGAGTAATTAATAGCATCAATCTCAAATGATTTAGCCATCCAATCAAAATGAATTGAATTCCAAGAAGAAAATCATTCCCCAAATCAATAATACCACCAACTAATTCATTTCATGAACCAGCAGCCGACTTATGGCAAAGAACTCTGATTATATAAATCACTCTCTAAGCTCCAAGCAATAATCTCTTCCATAAACCCTAAACACTCCTCTAAACCCACAGTGCCTAGTTCGGTAGTTGTATTAGGGAGAAAGAAAACGGCAATGGCGATAGTCACATTCCCTGCTTCCTCTGTTTCTGCCCTGCCTCGCAAGTCTGCCACAAAGAAGCTCGCTACCAGCTCACGTCCAGTCACCCGAATGCTTCGTCCCCGCCGAGTCTTCGCCCGAAGATCGCTGCCGGGAAAAATCACTCCGGTGAAGAAACCGTCGAGGCATGTTATCTCTTCCACCCGCTCTGCCTCTATTTCGTTCTCGGAGGACTGCTGCAACGAATTTGACTCTGATTGCGAGAGTTCATGCTCTTCCACGGCTTCATGCAGTTATCTTCCTAATCCTCGACGTGATGAAGATGATGATACTGGAAAGAAGGACGTCCCAAAGTGGATGATTGTCCCTAAATCCTCGACTTGTTTTCTTCTTGTCAGAATTCCGAAGAGAAATGGTTCTAATTAGGAGCTTAAGTTTCTCTATGTAATTAAATAAGACCTTGACTTTTTTAACTCTTAAATAGGACCTAATTTTAAAAAGCTTCCAAAATTGCCCCTGCTTCTTAATTTAATACGCACGTTTGTGTTTTCCGTTATTTTCTTTCACCTTCATCGAACTTCTACATCTCTCAAGTTTGACATATCTCCCCAGATCTGAAGCGGACGACGAATGAGGTGAGGGACGCCGGAGAAATAGACCTCTTCGTCTCCCTTCTTTTTCTTCGTTGCGCACTCCCATGGTCTCACCCTATTTTTCTCGCAGCATATATAAGCCGGCTCCTTTTTGGAGCGTAGGAAAACCTGATATGGGAAAATTTTCGTCCAGCTCTTTTGCACGATGGAATTCACGTTTGTTCATGATTTCTGAGTTTTAAATCTGATTGTGGTTGTTTTCTTGCTCGGATTTCGAAGCAAATACCATCTCTAGGCTTGGATTTGGTGTTTCTAAGAAGAATGACGGCCAAAAAAATCTCAGAATCGAGATGTTGGTTCGCGGCTTTACTGTTCACTTTCGCAAATTGATTTTTGTTCTTTAATCAAGCTGGTGCAATAGATTGGGGTTTCTTTTGTTTTGTTTGGGCTATTTAACCGGAGGCGGTACCTCTTTAGCTTTCGTGATGTAGGTAGTACCCTGTCCTCGTCGGTTTTTATCCCAACCTGCGATTTGGGGAAAATTTTGACTGCGGTTCTTATGGCCGGCAAGAAACAGGGTAAAGGTGTGGCTACACCATCTGTGAACACCAGGTCTCGGGCTGCTGTTGGTTTCAATGCGTTAGATGGCTTGGACGATAACTTCCCTGCACTACATGGTGGTGGGAAGTCTGGGAAGCAGACTGTGGACACTATGGCAGACCCTGGGATGTGCTCTGACTCTGCCAAGGAGCTGTTGGAACCTGAGGATGTGTTGCTTAGCTTTGGGAAGCAGAGGAATGCAACTAAACCTGCTGCTCCTGCTGCTGATCCTGGAGCTGGGGATATTTCTGTTAAGCAGCTAGCATTTAAGGCAGCTCCAACTGCACAAAAATATTTATTCTTATATGCCTTTACCACTAAATTGGCTCTGCTAACCATTTAGTTGTTATTACAAAAGGCAAATAGTTGTTATGTCTTGGACTAATGCAGAGGGTAGTTGTTCCATTTAATGTATGCATTACTGAGTTTTTATTTTGCACCAAAACTATTCGATGAAATGTCTATGTGGAAAAAATCTCCTTGTTTTACATTTTAGTTGAGAAAAATCATGGGCAGCATATTTAAAGTGCATGAACAAGTGAGCTGATAATGTCCAGGCTACATTGACATTGTCACGGTAATGTCATTGGCATTGTCATCGCAATGTCACTGGTGGCAATGTTATTGGCATTGTCACGACAATGTCATTGACATTGTCGTGACAATGTCATTTTAATGGCATCTGATAACATTCGCATTGTCATGAAAACAGTCATTGACTTAGCATTGACATATTATTACAATGTCGTTTTTATCGTACTAACGTTGACATTGGCATTGTCACGGCAATGTCATTGGCATTGTCATGTTAATGTCAATGACATTGTCTCTACATTGTCATCGTGATTAATTGACATTATGACATTTTTTCGACATTGTGACTTTTTTTATATAAAATTAACATTGTCATAATAGCTATTGACATTGTCATAATTACAATGTCATTGCCATTGTGGCATTTTCATAACCCGTTGACATTTTTATACTTTTTTATGACATTCTTTTGACTTTTTTTATTAACATTGTGATAATTACAATGTCATTTTATAACATCGACAATGACATTGCCATTGTGACATTTTCTTAACCTAGTGACATTTTTATACATTTTTATGAAATTGTCATTGTCATTCGCATTGTGTCAAGATATGTCGGGTCAACCTAAATTCATTTTGGTTCCACATTTTAAAATTTGAGTCACAAATCCAACTCAAAATAGCACATAGAATGGTACCTCATATATAACATTAATAACATTAAGTTAATTTACCAACAATGTCCAAATTAATAAATGAATACTCCGTAAAATAATCTGTATTACTTGCACTAAATGAATTTGTAAATAAAAAATAAAAAAATGAGATGTAAGCCAACAAAAAATTCAACTAGTTCAAGATTGCTACAATGTAGAGAATCTATTCTTTTGATGCGGAAATACTTTCTTGCTTCTACAGTGCTACTAGCACTAAGACGAGCTCACAAAAGCAGGCATACGGCACCGAAGAAATTCGCAAACAGAGAAGAAGAGATGGAAAAAGGTGGAGGAGGAGAAGGGCTAGGGGAGGAGGATCGGAGGAGGAGACTTCCCGCCGGCCTGATGTCGGCGACTGCTGCGGTGATGACTTTCACCGCCTATAACCCGACGGAAACCAGTGACGGATCATAGAGAATTTTACCTGCGGGTTGCGACCAACCAGAATAATTGCTCCTTTGAATTTGTTTGTTAAATCCCGTCGTTACCAGACTTGCAAAAGGGGATGGGTGGTGTCTTATGTTGAGATCAGGATTTGTTTGGAACGGAGGGGTATTTTTGTCTCAGAGTTCAAAATTGGTCCTATTTAGGAGTTTAAAACATTTGACTCTTATTTAAGTTCCCAGCTGTGCTTTTAGTCCTATTAAGGTCTATATCCCAATTCCGAATTAATTTCTTGTTTGGAAATTCTTAATGCGTACTCCCATGGTCGAATTTTGTGCAGCTGACTTTAGATCAGTCGTTTACTGTGTAGGTTTAGTTCACGCTTGAATTCGAGTTTGCCAATGTTGAACTTGGATTCTTGTTTAGATTACTGTATAGATTCCAATTTATGTTTAACAATTCATTTATGTAATTCTTTCTGTTCAATTATGTTCTTAGTTATGTTTATCAATACATGAATTGCAGAAGATATTCTTAGCCGTCATTATCCTCTTAAAAATTTATAACAGGGATGAATAAAGGACTTATAAGGCCTTTTTAGGTGTAAGAGCAACCCTTACACGGCCATTGCTGTGTAAACTTACTAAGAAAGCTTTTCCGGTTCACCTAAAAGGATAAAAGGTTATTAGCCTAATATGAATCTGATCAAAGAGTAATTTATTTATGAAATAAATGATTCTAAACTCCACAATTAATTCCTGGTTTTTATCATGGTTCTAAAAATCGGGCTAGGTGTCACCTAGTCGCTATGTGATAGCTGGGCGCCCTGATTTCGTGTTAATCGGTGGAAAAAATTTGCACCCCTTCTATCAGTGATTTTGATACTTTTAACTAATATTTTCTTGGAAAAATTGACAAAAATAATTCCACCTTTCGCTGGTCTTCTCATAATAATCTCACATTTAGGTAATCACAGAATAATCCCACCATTGCACCCCATCTTCTTTCATGGACACTGACCATGTTTTTTATTCCTTTTTTGAAAATCATATAAATAATCTTACCTTTCACTTTTCTATTATATCTTTATAAATGTGAGATTATTTATATAAGATTTTCAAAGGAAGGTAAAAAACTTGGTCAGGGTCCAACGAAAGAAGATAGAGTGGAAATGTGAGATTATTTTGGGATTATGTAAAGGTAGGATTATTATGAGAAGATCATTGAAAGGTGGGATTATTCTTGTCAATTTTTCCTATTTTCTTATGGTTAAAAGTTATGATAATCTCTATAAAAGTTATAAATTTTGTTATACTACCTCCGTCCTGATGGACTTTGCCAAGTGCAAAGTAGGTGAGAAATAAGAATAGTAAAAACCGTGTGATTGAGATTTGTGCAGATGAGAGAGAAATGTGAAGAACCATAAATTAGTTTCTTTAATAAGAAAGTGACAAAGTTTTTTGAGACAACCATAAAAGAAAAGTTGGCAAAGTCTAATGGGACGGAGGGAGTATTAGTATGTGCCTAATTTACTTTTGGTGACATGTTTGTAATTTGAACTAGGTGAAGTTATAACGCATGTACATATCATATCATGTAGAAGAATTCTGTGTAGTCCTTCCTAACTTGTATATATAAGAAGTTCTTGCACTCTAATTTATCTTATAAGTTGCAGTAACTTGATTTAGACTATACCTTCTATAAACTCGTTGTATTTACTTTTAAAAATGACATGTTACATATCAAAATCAACAACTTATACGTTTTAGCAACTTTAGAGCTATGATAACTATATTGACCAATAAATTATAATGTTCAACTTTTAATTTAAACATAATGTGACAAATTTTTAAGATGGAAAGTTACATATTTTTCTTACAGCTTATTAGCTTAATTGGAAGAGTATCGTGTGACCACACGAAGATGTGAGTTCGAATCCCACATGAGCTATCTCAACAAGTGGATTGATGATTTAATTTTTTCCCGACTTTAATTTCATGTAGATGCCCCACTTATTTCAATAGTAGAATCTTACATATTATGCATATGTTTTACTTAGAGTTGGGCCATATTTAAGTTGAGTATTTATAAGATAAAACGTATTAATGTAGTTGATCTTAATTGAAGAAAGGTATCCTACCATTTCCGCCCCCTTTCGATCCCAGTATCCACCTCTCTTCTTGATCAATAGTAGGGATGGCAACGGGGTGGATCGGGGACGGTTTTACATATAACCGTACCCGCCCCGTTTGGTAATTCCCCCGCCCCATAACTGCCCCATTACCCAACGGGAAATTTTTACCAAAACCATAACCACCCCAACGGGTAACGCGTATAACCGTGGGTAATCACTTTATTAAATGTGTCATTGGTATTTTAATATAAAAACAATGTTTTAAAAAGCAAAAAATGGCATCACCTAGACGACTCTAGACTCAAACGCCACTTTAAAGTTTTGCATATCTACAAGACGAGAAAGAAGACAACCTAAATGAGTTTGAATCTAAAAATACTTAATCTGAAAAATAATTAATCTCGAAAAATCTGATAATAATCAAACAAGACTATTAAGATCTATTATGAACTTTCATTCGTACACTAGAGTTAGTACATTTGTCATTGATATATACACAATGAAAATAGAAAATTCTCATCTTTTAGTTGTGGGACAACTAGTAGATGAGAATGTAATAAAAATATAACTAAAAATAAACGGGACGGGTACGGGGTGGGTAATGGGGCGTACATGTATCAAACCGTAACCGCCGCGTTACCCGTAAAAACAAAACGGGTATTCCTTGCCCCATACCCGTTACCTGGTCAATGCGGTTTTCCCCGGTTTGACCGGGGCGGTTCGGTGCGGGTATCCACCGGATCGGTCACAATTGCCATCTCTAATCAATAGTTAACCAGAGAATGAAGATCAGATATGATGTTTGCAATGAAAAGGAAGTTTGTTTCTTCCGTGTTGCATATGATGCTTCTTTGTTCCAGGGATGTGATGTTTTCTATACATAAAGTCGATGAGCATACCAACAAAGAAAATAGGTTACTTCTCACTAGAGTGAAGCTCTCTTCACCTATGATGTCTACTCCTCCGCTTCAAATTCTGCTAATACCGCCACTACTCGTGGAGGATGTGTTCCTAATTTGAAGTCTCGAGGATCCTCAAAATTGGTGGTTTCACCCGGCCTGATTCCGAGCACGACAAACACTTCAGAGATTGTTTCAAAAACTAAAAAAATGATAAACGAGTAGGAAATTTTAAATCATAAGCATTGATATTGTAATAATTTGCAAAATTAGGCTATGCGGGACTTGAACCCGCACCTTCATGCAAATATGCACATCGCTCTGCCAGTTGAGCTAATAACCTTTATACAAACATTGTGCAAAAGCTAAATTAAAACTAAAGCACCAATATCAACAGCTTAGAGCAAACCAAAGACCAAATAATCAAGACAAATCTGAATTAGAAAAAATCCAAAATATATTATAATTTAAAATAAGTGAAAAATGCAATGCCCCCTTGGTAAAGAAAAAGATTCAGGAATGCTAGTTTAACTTTAAAATTCCAAACTGAAAATAACATTCAACTTTTTTTTACAACAAAATATGTTGGTAAATTTAAAAAAGAAATGGATTGTCATATTAAGTATCAAAACTCAGACAAGAACCTGAATCAGGTTAAAAACCAGGCAGGTCTCAAGACTCAACTCTCACTTTGCTCCCTATGTCTTCTGATTGTGCTTCTGACTGCCACAACACAAGCAGTGTTCAAGGTCTATGCCCCGCCTACCTTAACCTTGCCACAATCTTTGTAGCCCCATATATCGACTATCTTTCTCTTCA